CGATTCCCATTCAATACTTATTCTTGTGTTATATTTCTGATTATTATTCAACTATAATATTATAAAAATTATAAACTATTAAAATATAGTATAAACAATATATGAGCTGTGAATTTGATATACACATCATTTTGATTGAATATTAAAGTAATAAAATTCGTTCACAATTGCCAACAAAAACATTAGACTCTTCACCAGAATATAATTTTTGTGAATACATCTCAAGAATTTGCATATTTTGAGATATAATGGGCTTATAATATGGAAAACAAGTGAAAACTAGTGATACACTAATAGCTGAATCTGAATAACGGTGCGATCAAAGCCTCAAAAGGCCTGTTGTTGTGTCACTGTGTCCTCAATTGTATCGTAATACTTAATACTTATATAATGATTGTTGTCATTGAAGTTGAAAAGCAGATGAAAACAAAAAACTAATGCCTTTCTTAAGGGCCTAAAAATAGGAGTACTTAAGCATCAGAGCTGTGGACAGGCATTCATGTCATTCCTATAGACTACAGTATTACACAACCAGACTAACTGTTACACAGAATTATAGCAAATAAGTGCTCAAATAGTGTCCCTCTTTAATGCATCTCAATATTCATTCATTTATTTTTATACACCAATTGACTAATTGCTATAAATGTTGCACTCAATGGTGTTTCACTTTATTCACACAAAAGACTTGTTTTTTAGCAATAGTTTTGACCATTTATTGTAATTAACAAAAAAAAGGAGAGAGAGAGAGAGAGAGACGACACTCTCCGGGAATATCTATTGCTATCATTTGGGGATTTGGTATCCAAACAGCAATTATAATAATTGTTTGTTTGATTTATTTTGAGATTAATTTCTCGTTTGAATGCATTTGAAAATCAATTAGAGAGAGAGAGAGAGAGAGATCGACTGATCGGACAAATAGTAATAACAGGAATATATGGCAAACTTTAATAACAACACATTTAATCTTTTTGTGATAAATATAGAGATTATAATTCATTTGATTATGTGTTGAATGAATGGAGAAAACTTGAAACACAAGACACAAGACATCAGATATAATAAGAGACGGGAACTAAAGCCCTGATATTTGATCTCTTATAGTGTCGACAGAGAATAAATGGCATCAAAATCCTACAGTTGTGTTGCGATCATAGACTACCGGCGCTCCACACATACTGTCATTACATCGATTAGATTCTGTACACAATATTCTGCATACAATACATACTTGAGTACGTCGGGGATGTGGTGGTCACACGTATGGCGTATATATGCGTATAGTGTTTGCAACCAATCGCCAAACACCAGGCGAAGGCCCGGTACGTTGCCAGCAATGGGGGGCTGTCCACCCACTTGTGGTCCAAACAAGTGGGTTCTGAGCTCCAACACCCGTCCCCTCACGTACTCCAAGTGTCTGTTAAAATAAAATGACTCTTAAGTGGACTAAAGTTGTCATCAAAATTGTGGTCAAAATCAACGGACAATACGAGCCATGAGTGCACTGAAGCGCAAACCAGTGGCCAATCGCCCAAACGATGTGCCACTCATGGGAGTGACTGAAGTGATGGCAATTGGCCTCAAATCCGAGAGACAAAAGCATTTCAATCATTTGGTCAGTCATTTAGTGCTCAATAACTGCCATTCAAACCGATGCCACGATTTGTCACAACTATTGTCACAATTGATCGCAAATATAGTCCACTTTCAAGCCTTTGACGACACGATTGACAAACTCTTGGTTGGACTCAACTTATACCACATAAACGACAAACAAATTGTGCGAAAATACTTTGAATTGATGTCCGAAACCATAAATTTAAGGCCAATTAAGTGCAGTCCAACTGTCGATATGCTTATAGTCTGCAAATTCTTGTAATAAAGGATCGCTTACTGTGTCTCTAATGGTGTCATATCTGGTGATACCAACAACCTATTGGTGGTAATGAGGAGGTCTTGAGATGTAAAATCAATTTCATTCCTGTAGTCACCCAACGGGTCCAAGAGGTTTGCCATTCTCTTGAGTGATTCGAGTCGTTTGGCTCTTCGTCTCGATATGGATCTGTTGGCTGCCATGGAGGCCATCGTGAAGAATGAGGTGATAATCGGTGACAATCAATGAAACGATAATTATGTGAACAAAAGGCGAACCAATGTTTGAATGTCTGGTTTGTTATGCACTCAGACTCTCATTCAATGCATACCTTTGGCTGCAGTCTCAGTCTCTCACTGAAAATCATTCAAACATTTATGAATTGAGAGAAACTTTGCCGTAATTTGTGGTCAAATTTAAAACCCCTTTCAATGAAAGCAATGCTTCACTGAATGTAAACATATTTCCCACGTTTTTGTTGTCATTATCGTAATTGGCATCAAAATTGTGGTCAAAATCAACGGACAATACAAGCCATGAGTGCACTGAAGCGCAAACCAGTGGCCAATCGCCCAAACGATGTGCCACTCATGGGAGTGACTGAAGTGATGGCAATTGGCCTCAAATCCGAGAGACAAAAGCATTTCAATCATTTGGTCAATCATTTAGTGCTCAATAACTGCCATTCAAACCAATGCCACGATTTGTCGCAACTATTGTCACAATTGGTCTCAAATATAGTCCACTTTCAAGCCTTTGACGACACGATTGACAAACTCTTGGTTGGACTCAACTTATACCACATAAACGACAAACAAATTGTGCAAAAATACTTTGAATTGATGTCCGAAACCATAAATTTAAAGCCAATTAAATGCAATCAAACGGTCGATATGCTAATAGTGAGCAAATTCTTCAGCGGTTACCACGAGTTGGTCACTGAGAAGCAGATCCAACCGCAAGAAGTGATACATTTCGATGAAATGCATTCAGTGTTGGCGGCCATAAAAGTGGCCAAATTCGAGACCTCCC